CCCCTGAGTCAGCTACTCATACAGCATTTTGATGAAAAATTGCATCACCCCGGTCCTGAAAGAGTATATGCTGAGATCCGCCGGCAATACTGGATTTTGAGAGGACGAGAGGCTGTAAGATATCATCAACATAAGTGTACCGAGTGTAGAAAATGGCGAGGTAAACCTGAGATCCCCCGTATGGCTGATTTACCCCCTGCTCGCCTTCGACTTTACAAACCTGCATTCTACTCAACTGGTGTAGACTGTTTCGGACCTTTCATAATCAAAGTGGGGCGGCGCAACGAGAAACGGTGGGGAATTATCTTTAAATGTATGACGACTAGAGCGGTATACATTGATGTGCTAACCAACATCAGCTCGGACTCATTCCTCATGGCTCTACGCCGATTTATTGCTCGAAGAGGAAAACCCCATGAGCTCTTTTCAGACCAGGGTACTAATTTCAAGGGAGGTGAGAGAGAAATAACAGAAGCATTCAACAACTTGCAACCTACCCTGAAAAGCCAACTTGCAAAGCAACAGATTGAATTTCACTTTAACCCACCTGGAGCTCCCCATTTTGGGGGTATATGGGAAAGAGAAATCAGATCCCTGAAAGCTGCACTCAACCAGACGCTCGGAGCACAACATGTGTCAGAGGAAGTACTAACAACAGTGCTGGTAGAGATCGAGGGAATTCTCAATTCCAAGCCGTTGGGCTATGTGCCATCCGATGTGGCTGACATTGACCCTATAACTCCAAATAGCCTTCTAATGGGGCGGCCTGACTCCAGCTTGCCACAAGTTGTCTATCCAAAAACAGAACTACTGAGCAAGAAGCAATGGAGACACAGTCAAATACTGGCGGATCATTTCTGGGCACACTTCATAAAGCGCTATCTGCCTCAACTACAGACTCGGGCAAAATGGATGACTGACAAGGCCAAGAATCTGGAGAAAGGGACAGTAGTGATAATAATCGATTCACAACTTCCCAGAGCTCTCTGGCTTGTGGGTAAGATCACTGACACAATACCTGGAGCAGATGGATGTATAAGAACTGCTGAAGTACAAGTGGGTGATCGCAAATATGTTAGACCTGTGAGTAAACTGATCCGTTTACCACAGTTACCAGATGATGACAATTCTTAGGCCTTTTCTGTAGTAAATTTACTAAGTAAATTGGGGCGGCTGTTGAAAAGGCCAGGTATATCTGGCGTTCTGATTTGATGCTGGTTTGATTGACAGCTGGGTCTGGCCCGCCCAGAAGACTCATATCATTTCCGTTCCTGTAGCCGGACATTGCAGTTCAATACATTCTGGCTAACAGCTCGATGCAGTGGCTTATTGTGTGTGCGTCATGAGAAGTAAGTGTTCATGTCTTCTGTCTGTGTGCTTCTAACACGTAGTATATGGGTTTAATGTTGTAACGCAAACTTTGAATGACGATCGGACCGCATGATTGCAATAACGTCATCAACGCAGGTGGTGCGCGCTTCCGAGCAAACGCCATTATTAACGACGCACATGTTATCCCCGCAAGTTTATTTACCATTGAAGTGTGTTGATATGTAAATTAGTTAAGTGTTAAGCAATGTAAATGCCATGTTTACTCAGTATTTGGGCATTGGATGTGTCTCACATGTATGTTTACTGCATATTTAGACCTGATGCCCTGTTAATCTTTACTTGTATGCCATAATTGATGTTATATATATATATTAGGTCATATTATATTGTTCTGTATATTATACCAATTGCAGTTTAATCACTGTGGTACATTTCTCTCTTGTTCTAGAAAATACCACACACACGCATGTGCCTTTATGACTGCAAATAAATGCTGTAAAAACATCAGCTAACTACAAAGCCTGACTTGTGCGTTCTTACCGACGCCCCCTGGTGATCACATCATAAATAGTAAAGCCAGTGCCATTTAACAAACTCACGAACAGACTGGGTAGTTCCTCTGCCCTCGGGAAGCTGGTATGGTTGGGTCGTATTCTCTCCCTGGACTAGGCCCATGCCCTTGGCCGCTGGGATTACTGCGTCTGCTGGTGAGGGTCCTCTGAGCTTCCCTGAGATGGCTGTGGCTGAGTCAGATATAAGATTTGAAGGTGTCGGGAGACTACTTTCCTAGTGTTTGTATGTGTTGTTACGATAGCCCTTGTGTGCTGCTGTGGTGGTGGCTCCAATTCTGAATGAGTGACTGGATTATGAATCTGGTGGGAAGCCTGAATGGTCCTATGACTTTAAGGTGTTATGAAACCAAAAATGTTATTGAACGGAATGTGTGGATATGTTGAGCAGTGAGAAACTGATGAGGTGTTCTGGGGTAACTTAAAATGTATAAATGAATGCTGACGCAAATTGTGTATGCTGTGGTTATGGGATTATCATCTTAAAAGGAGAGATGGAGTCAGCTGCGGCTCTGCTTCTGATACCAGTTTCTGAAAATAAAGCAAAGAGAGTCAGCGATTTCCTATGCAACTAGGAACATGTACAGCAGTATTTTTTTTTTTTTTTTTTTCAGAATGTATTGACTATATTGCCCGTTAGAAGCGCATTGGCGGCCCCGATAATATACCCACGAAGGGGGCAGCATCTGTGTAAAAAAGGATATACTAAGGATGAAATTGGATAGCTAATAAATGAATGGCTTCTATTCCAGCGCTTAAGGAAGGAAGCATAAGCAGGTCGCATGCTTTAAGCGCTACCTGATGGTTACGAACCTTTATGAATTTCATTTCTGTTAAACCAGGAGTCACCAAATATGGTACCGATGGGCACCAGATAGCTCACGAGGCTCTCGTGTGTTGCTCTCAGGCCTGTTCTAAAATAGCTCGCCTTACACCACTTACAAGTAAGCTTTCTCTAAAATAGAAGTAATCATTTAAAAATGTAAATATTTGCAAAGATAAATAAAATAGTGTTGCACGTTGATATATTAATTACGGGGTATTTCCTACCCTGTTAAATCATTGTTGGTAACTTTGAGAGAATCATAACATGATCAGTGACTACACCTGGATGAATATTATTCATTATTAAAAAATAACCAAAAACTTAAATTATAATTATAAGTAAATTGAGCAATTTGTTATTTGAGAAGTGTTTATCCAACTGGTAGCCCTCCACGTTAATCGGTGCCCGAAGTAGCTCTTAGTTTCAGAGGTTAGTGACTCCCGTGTTAAACGCTAAGGACAACATTTTGAAGAAAGCTGAAAACCTGTAACCATTGACTTTCACAGGAAGGAAATAAATAATAAGGAAGTCAATGCGGCTGTCCGTAGTGCCCAGCCACAATTCATGACACTTCGTATTCTGCCGCGCCGCGGAGCGCTATTTGTATAATTGATTAGTTTATTTGATAAAGTATGAATGCGTGAGTCTGGTGTGCATTAATCTACTATTCTCTGTCGTAAGTGCGTCGCGTCACCGCGCCGTCGGCGCCTCTGGTGCGCGACGCCCTTCAGGCAGAGTTTGTTACGGCCAAGATCGGATTTAGATCATTTCTCTTCTATTCCGGAGATTGCTGCTGCGAGATGAAATAGGTGAGTGACGAAAAGGCATCCCTGCGGGATAATGCGCATGTGTGTTTGATGTTCTAGATGGAGAGCAGTTTATGCTTAGCGTGATATTTTTCTTCCAGAATATAAAAGGGGGACTGATTGTCGATTTATTCAAATAGCTTATTAATGCTTGAAATTCTATCACTCCAAATTGATGCTTAAGAATTCTATAGAAGTGCTTAAGCCGGAGGTTCTTCCGCAAAGAGAATGCAAATATTAGAAAACCGGTCACTAGTTTAGCTGGGGGATATTAGGGAGAGAGAAACGGGAACTTGTAGGTGAATTACGTGCAAACACCGTAGTTATTGGCGAAATCCAGCGGATCGTTTTTAAGCATAAATGTGTGGGCTACTTTTGCATCCGAATGTTAAACGGACTACGAAATGTAATTGTGACCTCCGATTGCCAGAAATCGGGTGGCAGGTGAAATGTTGATTGCAACCGAGCGCTGCAGCCGTCTAGATTAGAGAGATTGCTTGGTTTATAACGTGATAATTTAAGCATATTCATCAGGTAGAATCATGCTGTTAAAGCTGAAAAAGGCAGAATTATGAGGAGATGAAAGAGCCGTTATTAGACGTTTTTAGAAACGTTCTAATGTCCATTTCAGTAGGGCTGGTATGGATGTGCTTAACAGGGAATTGCTCTGTGATTTCTGGTGTAGTGTTGGTGGACGGCTAGTGAGGTTGTGGGAAGGGAGCGCCGAGATCGGCTGTGCTTCAGTAGACGAAACCTGGAATGAGAAATTCAGAAATTAGGTCAGTTACAAACGTAATTCAGTAAAAGCATAAACATATTGACAAAAGTCGACAAGTAATTTCTATTTTATAATAGAAAATAATCAGCAGTAGCTGCGAGCTTGTAAAAATGAGAGGGGGAAAAAGCAATGATACGCAAGGTAGAGGGGCGGGGTGCGTAGGTGGTAAGGATCGCTGAAAGAGGAGGACTGGAGTGTGCACTGGAATCGGGAGCTGCAGGATGGAAGAGGTGAGGTGGGATTCCCAAGAGTTGCTTTATTGTCCGGGAGATAGGTTTTATCCGTGTTTAGAATTATGATTGCTGCAATATTTCCAAATCCAATATTGCTTTTTAATCCTTTCCTTGATTCTCCGGGGAGGCGGAGAGATTGCGGGTTTAATGTCTGTTTAGGATAGGGGGTGTGGCAGGAGCGTGTTATGTCCTGGGGGTGGCGGTGAAGACGTGGATTCGCAAGTGTTTTGGGTTTAATGCAGCGGCTTTGAATTATGGTCCCGGCGTCTAGGAGTTTGGAGGAGTTCAGTGACAGTCGTTGTTGGATATGAGAGACGCATGATGATGCTGGAGAAGGTACGTAGCGGAGCTGGGGATTGCATTGTGATCTGGCTGGAGTGGATAGGCCTACGGCCTCTCGTTGGAGCCTCGGTCTCGAGCTGACTTTCATGCTGGGCTGGTTGTTGTTAAGACGGGGCTGGTGTTTCAGGGAGCCCGGAGCTTTCTTTCTTGTATGTAGCTGCGCTGATGCTGTTGTGATCTCAGCCGCCGTCGCTGTTGTTGTTGTTTTTGTCATTTTTTGTAGTTGCTGACGATGGTATTAAAGGTGGTGTGGTATTGTAGTTGAAGAATAGTAGGAGATGTGGAGGATCCGTTTTGTCCGTGAGTAACTTTTGGAGGAGCTAGAGCGGACCTGTCGTTTGTTTCTTCGGAAAACGAAGATAAGGGAGTAATGTCTAGCTAGGCTACTTATAGTGGGTTAGGATAGATCTGATTGGCTAACTAATGAGTGTAGATAGGTGGCCAGCTGCTGTCAATTATATCACGTGCTCCTCTCGAAATTAGTTTAAAAACTTCACTTAGATTATAAAAAGGCTGTTCAGTTGGGGTTGGGGTTAATTTAAGTTTACATGTACTTGCAAAGTTTCTTATAGTCAAGAGCAGTATCAGCAGATATTAAGCAGACATGCTAATACTCAAATGAGAAGTAAATGGCATGTAGACAAGTTTCGCAGTTCGCTGCGCTGCAAAGTTCATGCTTGGTAAACTCTGACCAGTGAAATCGCATCACTTGACTGCATAAAGCTGCGGTCACACTAGAGTTTGAGCATGTGAAATTCTGTCGTACGGCACTGCAAAAAGGACGATTAAACATTAAAAAGTGAGCGATTGCTCCATGTTTTAAATTTCTGTCCAGAGAGGTTGTTTTGATCCTCGATTGGTCTCACGCAGTCAAGTGATGCGATTTCGCCAAAACAATCTCACAGCAAATCGTAACTTTTTCATTTAGTGGCTAATTCGTATTAATTTGTGCGATCTAATTCGTACTTTTTAGTATGATTTGCTCATTCCCCAATGATGGTTGGTTTAAGGGGTGGGATTAGGTGCTATGCCTCCTTTTTAAAATCGTACAATTTCGTAAGACTGAACTCATACGAATTTGCTACTAAACTGCCAAAACGTAAAATACTTACGTTTTCTCGTGAGATCAGGCTGATTTCGCAGGTCAGAGTTCATCAAGCTTGAGTTTTGCACCGCAGCAACCTGCGAAACAATGAATGACCCTGCGTTTCCAGTCTAAAACATTCACATGCATATGAATGAAAGTCTATATGGAGAAAAGCCCAGTGTGACCGCAGCTTAAGACCAATCGAGGATCAAAACATGACCTCTCTGGACAGATATTTATAATATGGACCAATTGCTCACTTTTTTAAATGTCTAATTATCTTGTTTAATCCCGCCCCTTTTTGCAGCTCCATAGAATTTCACTCCTGTCCCAGCTTGCGATCACTCCACATTTGAAGAGTGACATTTCATTATTATGTATTCATTCATTCATTTTTTTTCCAGCTTAGTCTCTTTATTAATCTGGGGTCGCCACAGCAGAATGAACCGCCAACTTATCCAGCATATGTTTTTACGCAGCGGATGCCCTTCCAGCTGCAACCCATCACTGGGAAACACCCATACACACTCATACACCAAAGACAATTTAGCCTACCCAATTTACCTGGACCACGTCTTTGGACTGGAAACCGGAGCACCTGGATAAAACCCACGCAAACGCTTCAGCAAACCTACCTGTAGGCATCAAACAAGCCCGAAGCACTCAATTAGTTTAATCAGGTGTGTTTAATTAGTGTTGGAACTAAACTGTGCAGAGTTGTGGCCCTCTGAGTTTGACACCTGTGAACTATACTGTAGTATATGATTGACTATATTAACTTTCTGATTTTGATTGTAATGTTATATCATGAAGCTTTTGTAAAGCTGCTTTAGAACAACAATTATTGTGAAACCTTGAATTGAATTTCACCTGCACTCTCTATCCAAACAGAAACAGGAGAAAACATTGATCAAAAGCAAACATGAGTTAACTCTGTATCTACTTATACAATTTGAAAAAA